GCTTTATAGTTTCACGCCTCAGTTACCAAAAGGGAGGCCTAGCTCTTTATTCTTCATTGGATGTTTCATTGCTAAGAAAAATGTTGAAATTATCTCAGAATTAAAAACATTAAATTATTATAAGCAAAACAGACCTTTAACAACAATTCTGTGTTCAGTAACTTACACTGTCTCATAATCTGTACATGTATTTTTCAAATATGCCACAGGAAAAAAAATGTGATACATTTAAGACAGAGGAAGAGATTTCAGGTATTCTTGAGAAACTATGACACAGCTATTTTCAATGCCTAAGCAACAATAAACCTTATATTAAAGATACTACAATTTTCCCCTCTGTCAGTTCAATTACTAAAATCCAGGAGAGGGTTACTAGTAGTTTCGAAATTGCCTAATTATCCAGTGCAATCCAATCTATGTCTTCAGAACAGTCTCTATGGTCGCAATAGTTCCTTTCTTCATTGGGGGATGAAATTGGTTCACGTGCTCTGAATAACCTAATCACTGCTGCCAATACAGTAACAAATGAAGGGAAAAACCTGCCTTCTGAGCTACAAAAATATTTACAGGCCACACTACTGTAGCAAGCAGCCTTTTAGAGCTATTTTGTAGTATCACGCAGAACACAAAGCAAAATCAAGTATCTACGTCTACAATAAAATAGCTCACAATAATTAGGTTAGTAAGATACCTTTACTTAACCCTACGATGAAATTTTAAAAAAAGATGGCTTGGGGAAAAATTAAGTCCAAACACTTAATGCTAAAATACTGAGCAAATAAACAAAGAGCATAAGAGACATCCACAACACAGCATAATCATCACCTAAAAAGACAGCAAAATCAGACAGAAATATTAGATAAGAACATCAGTCTGTCACACTAATGCCGTAAGTACTTGCACATTAAATACATATTCATTCTATTTCACAGAATTGTTGAAAGGTTTCTTAGTCTGCATTCTTCTATTTAATGAAGCCAACAGCAAAACAACCCTAAAATTTGCTAGCACTAGCTACCCAAATCCAAGATGAATTTTAACATTAAATACACCTATCTGTCTGTTCAGATGTAAAAAAGCAGAAGTGTGCTAGCACAGTTTATTCTGACAATATTAGAAACTAAGTAAACCTTAACTAAAAACAATTACATTGCAACTAAAAAACATCCATCTAAGACAATCCACTAAACACAATTCAACAAAAAGGCCTTAGAAAATGATGCTTCTAAATCATTAATCTTTACATCAGCAATCTTACAATAAACAGGCCCTGAACACATACCGTCAGGGTTTTTTGGATACATCTTTCATTAATCTCCCTTATTAGCAGCAGCAGCATCACTCACTCTTCTGTTCTTTTCCTCCTAAAATACATTCCCCAAGAGTCCTTTCAATGCAATTTTCTCAGCATTTCTGAGAGGTCTCTCGGCCACATCCTGCAAAGGAGGGTGGCAGGCAAAGCAACTGTATCATAACCAAAATGCTGAGTTCTATTATCTACTGCACCACACGTACACACATACTGCATCAATGCCCTCAATTCATAACAGCAATCACAATGATGATACATAAAATCTATAGAAAAAGCATGCATTACTCACTGGATTTTATTCTTTAGCTTCTTCAGCATGTAATTCTTTACGCTTTACAATGTAGTAGGTATGAAATGAAACATTTTCCCTTTATTCCACTGATGCTGCCATTTGAATACCATTAGATACCAAGGACAATAGGCAGGATCAGCTCAAACATTAAGAGCAAATATTTAATGGAAGACTGGTTACCCCCGTCTCTCCCTTTCACATCCCTGCCTCATGCATCCAGGCACGGGTGGTACTGGCTCCCTTGAGAGGCTGTAGCTAGCAGCTGAGGCACAAACTAAAACATGGCATGGATGTCAAGGAGCTGATGTCACAAAAACAAGTATTTCTCTGATAAAACCAGCAATTCCATTAGGGAAGTCCTACAAATCAATTGAAATTGTTCAGCTGAGCATGCTTTGTTACACAATGCACTGCAGCACCAGGAGTGATAAATCAGATCAAGATCTGTCAGTGTAAATAAGCGGAGACTGTAATAACTAAGTTATAAACCTGCCAATCAGATAGCACGCTGTGTATCAGGGCATCAGTGAGGCTGTCACTTACGAACACAGAAAAGAACCACACACCTAAACATTTCAGAAACAACCTTGTTTAATATCAATCCCAAAATAATAGCAAATCTACTAAAAAAGTAAAATTATTTTTAAATACAACAGACTTGGCCTAAAACTCAGCCATCTTTATCAGGAAACATTCTGATCGAGTATGCAAGACTCCGGGTCAGCAGATGCTGGAAACGCCTATGAGAGGTCACATTCAGTATCTGGGAAGAGATGCAAGATGTTTTACAAATCCTGCCACCTCACCCACACAGCAGCACTGCCATTCCAGCCTGCGGTGATGGCTTAACTCTCTTGCTGAAGGTAAAAGGTGCTGTTCCTACAACAGCAGCTGTACGTTTATAGTGGAAGCTGGGTCTGAGTAGTACAAAAATTCAGGAGCAAAAGGAATAGACACAACACAAGTTCAGATGCTGGAGACTGCAAATTCTATCTTGCAGACAGCATCACATCAATATAAAAAGGTAGGTTCTTCAAGCACAGAAAGAACTTTTCTTAAGGAATGCAAACAGAATTAAAATATTAGTCATATGGTTTATTCCATTATGGATTATGTGCATTTATTTCAAGCTTTGCTGGCTGGTACAACCTCAAAACTGTATCAATTTCACAAAGGTCCAGGACAGCTAGCAATTATATTATTAGATACCAACATAAATGCAAAACATTCAGTATATATTTCTGCATTCTTCTTCCAAAGCATTGTTGTCTTTAAGGAACTGGAAAGAAAAACCCTACAATTCTACAGAAATTCACCTCAAAATGTTTGCAATTAAGAAGATCACATACTGTTAGAAATAGTCACTCCATGACCTAACATGAACAAGTCTGAGCAATATATTGCAAATGAAATTATTTAGCCATTCCATAGTTCTGTTTACAAATTCAATTTCAAACTGTCTGCAGTTCTGTAACAAACTGGAAGTCCACACTTAGAGACTGCTAGTTTAAGTAGAGGCCCATTTTGGACAGAGCAACTAGTTAACTGTTTATTTGCCTCTGGAAATAACTTGAGGCAAACTCATAAGCACCTTTATAGCATAAGCATGATGCTCCAGAAAAGTGTACATGTAATATTCTCATTTCTTAAAATGACTTCCTATGAACGTAACTACACCAATAAAGCCACGTAAAACAAGAATTTGAAACATACTGAATATTTTTGAAGAACAATATTTTAGTCCTGTCAAAATAAACAGTCCTTTAAATAAACTACATCACCGCTATCAAAAATGTTTCCATACAGTCTAAGTGCAATGCAGATGTTTGTTGTATGCCTTGAGCTAACAAGCAATAACACTGAATGCGCTGGCTTACGCTAAATTAGCACCAATACAATTTAACAGATCTGTTGTAAAACAATTTGAAAATAGGTACAGCTAGGCCCCAGTATCAGATTTCCATGCAGGTCCCGTGGATGCAAAGAGGCAATATGTACTGAATTAACTAATTCAATTACAAGAAACCTGACTACAAATATCTTACCAAGAACATCCCACTAAACAGGCTTTTTAAACAACCAATGTAGGATTCAACATGACCTGTAAAACCATGCAGGGAGAAATACCCTACAGACAGAATAACCAGGTCATCTGAGCCACACTAATCTGTGTGCTTCTGCAGTTCATCTTATGGCTTGAGAGAACTACACCACCTACAAATTAACACAGAAAACTTTTCTACTAAAATATCTACACTTTTAATTAGATCATTAAATTGCAGTGAACTTTATTATGCCACATTATTTGCACAGATACCCCTTTACACAACAGCCTTTTCTCTCCTCCAGTTAGCTTACTTTTCTTGACAGTATTTCACATTAGTTTGCTTTGTGTTTTCACAAATAAGGGCAAATAATTCTATTTGGGACAACACAAGTATCTCCTCCTTCCCTCTGTAAACAGCTACAGGAACGGCAGCAGAGCTAGAGTCAGCTGGTTCTTTCTGTTCTTATATTGGGATAGCAGAGTGGCACGTGTGCCCATATGAATTTGCTCCCTACAGTTTTCACTCAACAAATTAGAGGCAAGGCAGAAAAAAAGAAACAAAATAGACATCAGTATGTTGTGAAATAGCCCCACATACTGTAGCAATGGCAGACTTGGTTGTTCCATTCTTAGTTGCAGAATTAAGGGGGGGAGGCACCCTAAGGTTAGAAATTTAAATAAAATCAACCGTTCTGTCTTTATTGAAAGACAGCTGTTTCACAGAACACAGTCTGAAGACTTACACGGGAGTATTAACACTCTACACTGTACTGATGCATGGGCTTGTTCCTCCTCAGGTGCAGGACCCTGCACTTGCCCTTGTTGAACCTCATCAGGTTCCTCTCTGCCCAACTTTCCAGCCTGTCCAGGTCACGGTGAATGGCAGCACAGCCTGCTGGTGTATCTACCACTCCTCCCAGTTTTGTGTCGTCAAACTTGCTGAGGGTACATTCTAACTCTTCATCCAGGTCATTGATGAAGAAGTTAAACAAGACTGGGCCCACTACTGTATCTCCCTCTTCAGTACATCACTACTTTCCCCTGCAAGTTAAGAAACCAAAAGAACCACAAAAGCAGAAGACCACATTCAAACATCTAAAATCCTGACCTCTTCACCTGCCAATGTATTAGCTACTGGAAACCAGTATTAATCCTCAGAAACATAAAAACAGTGCTACAATGTTGATTTATATGATTTCTGTCAATAAAATGTCAGACATGTTACATTCAATTAAAAAACAACAATACATGCACACGTACATAACACTAGCTGTGAAAATCTTTCGATATATAGTTTTCCATGTGACTGAAAAAATTAAGCTAAAATTTGATAATATTTTAGTACTCACTGTCTTCTCCTGGACAAGGCATGCCAGGTTTCTCTGGAATACTTGGGAAAACTAAAACAAAAACATTGGATTTTTAAGTGAAAAGATTCTTAGCAGTACTTTTTCCTTGATTCTTGAATATATTTACATAAAGACAATTTCTGGAAGCCTTTAAATAATTCCATGTGACAAATAACCATCAAAATTTGGGTCCATACTGGTAAGATCTTATACTTGACTATAGCATTAAGAAATCTGTGCAGTTTAGAACCTAGAACCCCCTCAAAGCCTACTGCATAGCTTCAGCTTTGGGCTCCACCCCTAAAAGAACACTTCTTTCCCACAACATCAAACTCTAGGGCTCTATCTACATAAAGAACGTTATCTGGCAGGCAAAGGAGTTGTTCCAGTCTCACAGTGAAGAAGCCTTTACTATTATTATCAACAAATGCATACAGGTTCTTGAACTGTGTAATACTTGCCATGAATAATCAGCCCTTCATCTCTGTTTTGACAATACAGTCGGAAGGCTTCTTCCAGTTCCATCTGCGATGAGATGGTACATGGGTCACCTAACAAAAAAGCAATACACAGGCAAATTTACAACTGAAGAATTCAGTGGAGAATTCCCATTAGTCAGTAAGAAATGTACCAGCCTCCAGCATTGCTTTTCTTTCAATCGTCTAATATTCAGCTGGCATTTTGACCAAAGCCAAAATATATCACAATTTTTCTTTGATTTTATCAAAACTGAGTAGATAGATATATACTCCATGGGTTTGCAAGGGGACAAAAAAAACCACAAAAGTGAACAGATATGCTTAAAGATTTTTAACACACAGCAGAAAAAGCGAGATTGCTTCCTAGTAACCTGATAATTTAATTCAAAATTAATTCCCCCTTTGTTAAACGGCCCATTATCTTACTACCTTAACTTCATTGACTGCAGAACCATGATATGACAGCTTACAAGTTATAAAGGTACACATAAATTCTAGTTGAGTCTCTCTTGCTAGGCTGACAGAAAAGCAATCTATGGTTAAAAGGGTAAAAAATAAGATACATATATGAAAGTTACGGATGTGATACAAATATGCCAACACTAATGTAGAGATTATTCATGTAAAATTAATTTATCTCTAAAAGCCTCTAAAATTTTCAGGGTTGGCTTGTACATTTTGAGGAAAATAGGTTCACTTTTCTTAAACTTAGATTTAGAAGAAAAGCAAATGGAAAAAAAATCATGAAACCTGCCTAGCGATAAACAACCCTCCCTCTTTCAGAAAAAAGAGATATCATTCAGTTTCCATGACCGTCTTCTGCACTCACATTCTGCAGTAGCAGATTCAACAAACAGAGCTTTTAAAAGTTCTCAAAAAGGCAACATGCCAGTCACCATTTAAAGCATATTCTAAAGAGCCTTCCTATTGAAATCGATAAAACAGAAACCCCTCAAACCACAAGATATCATTCAGGACGAAATTCACGGGGAAAAGAATAAAAGAAATGGAGACACAAGTATTGCCACACACTAAGGCCTGGGCTCAAGTACCATGCCTTATCCACACCACTAGTTTCATCTTCAGAAAACACACAGGAAGGCAAATATTCAGTCAGACGAGAGTAACCCTAAAACATTATTAACTAGTAAGATTTGGAAGACTAAAAACTACTTGTGGTATGGTTACTAGCCTTTAAGCAGTGAGAAGAAAGAACTACATTTCTGACGGGGAGACAGCTCAAAGACAGCTCCTCCCAGCTAACAGACTGGACCTCAGCAGGACTGGGAAGTAACAATGGGACACACTGGTGAGGTTCCATAGAAAAGCCACTGAATTAATTTGTTGGTGCCAGAGAAACAAAGCACTGGAAAAGGTTCTTGGTAAAACTGGAGCTGAGCCAGAACATACATATTATCGAGCCCTATATTTCCAAAGTTGACCTTTCCAAGTTACAAATCCTGATCAGTTTAAGTGAGGACATTTTTACGTGATGTTAAACATCTGAATTGGAATATAATACAGGAATACCTCTCTGGTAGAAAGAAATACTGTTTTAACAGCCCAGGATAACCTCTAGACTAGCAGTCTCAACTTTTTTGACAGCACATCCCATCTCTAAAACTTAAGCACATAACCCCAGTATGTTTATTTATTAATTATATTATAAAAATCTTGAGATAGTAATTTTAATAGAATGAGACAAATATCAAAAAATTCAAAATATTATTAATGGTACAATAGCATACTTCTCAAAATATTAAAAATTAATTTAAAATATTTTTAGTGAATGCTATGTGATTAAACATGCTTCATGACTTTTGAAAACCTTGCTTTAACATTTTATGATATGGTGATTTAGAAGTCTGGTTCTAGGCTCAGTTTATTTCAAGACTTGGTTTTAATGGTGTTAGTCAAAAAAAAAGACACCTCACAAAAACACTGAGATCCAAAGGAAAGAAATGCATTGCTGGTTGCGCTTACTGAATCTTAACACTCATTCTTCAATCCTATCCACCATTTCTGCAAAAGTTTTGTTGGCATTCAGTTAATAACTTTTTGTCTTCCCTGATGTTCATCAGCTGTTCTTGCTAACTAATTTGAACATGCTGTATTTTTAACTAATTGGTTCAAAACCCACTGCAAGTCTTCGGAAGAGTTTTTAACAGGCTAGAAAATTCAGTTTCCAAGTTTAAGCATACAGACGGAACAACAGAAATATCTCCAATGGCCATTTTCAAAATACTCTCTCCATGTAGCATGAGTTCCTTTTGAAAAGCAGTTACTTTATCAGTCATTGGCATTAAGTGGGTTGGTTTTGTTTATTTTTTTTTTAAATAATAACTGCTAGGTAGCATACTACTGACAGCCACTTGTCATCAGATAATGTCCACATATTTGGAACATTTATCTTTTTGTAAAAGAAAAATGCATAACATCTTTAAGTTTAACAACTCTTAAGCACTTTCCTGCAAGATAACCAGCTACCCTCTGAGAGGTAAAGAAGTTTCAAGGTCACACCCCAAATTAGTAATAAGTACCATAAACTCTGTACTATCTAAAGCTCTTGGTTTTACAGGATGTCAGTGCAATTAGTTTTGTAGCACTGTGTGCAGTTCTGCTCCAAATCCTTTGCTGCAAAAGCTTGTTCATGAACAATGCAGGGGATGAATTTCACGTGCAGTGCTCTCGCAGTAACCTTACCCCAGAATCCTTTTTTATTCCAGTCAAATCAGTCTCTCCATCTGTGGAGGCTTACAGCTTTTCCGTAACACATTATTTTTATTAAAATAATTTACGGTTGAGATTGTATCTTTTCCAGTACATATTTCTTTCCTTCAGTGACTCACAAAAGCTACATCTTCACATACCTCATTATTGAAACAGAACCTAGCAAATACCATAAGCTGAGATATGTTAGAAACATCTGTACTTTCATCCAACCATACAGCAAACTTCCCACACAGCATAGTTTGTTTTAACACTTGTTTCTTCAAACCTTCAGCAATATCTTCTACGTACCTTCCAACAGTATTTTCTTACAAAGTAATGCATTTCAGTTTGTTCCTTGTTTTCCTGTATATTATTCCAGGCATATTTAACATGACAAGAAAAACAAGTGTTTTCCCAGTGATATGCCGCTTTTTGTCTTCCTATTAAGTAAGAAGCCTCAGAAGTTACTTTTAAGAATTTAACATAAAGTTTAGTGAAGTTTTGTAATGTACCAAACTGAGTATCACAAAACTTCAAGCTGTGGATACTTAGTTTTTAACTGCCTTGCTAATCATGCATAATATTATTATCTATTGTCTCAAAACACAACATACACTTAGGGTGAGGTTCATCATTAAAAATAGCAGATGTAAACACAATTCAAATACTGTTCTTGATAACTTTGAATCTGTTTGACTCACTTCTTATCAGATCTGATCAGATAGTCATTGGTTCCACCCTGTAGTGTAGCTGACAGTTCATACTTAGGAGCAGAAGAAGTGTCAGCTCCACCATTTTCTTGTTGCTTGCTTGTGCTCAGATCATTAGCATTACCTTGTCAGGGTTATTTTAGTTAAAACTAGATAATTAATCCATAAATCCATTTAACCAAGAACACGTGAACTGCAGTACATCCCAATACACTGAAGGCAAGCAAATGAGTGAAGGTGTCACTCAGCTCCTGAAGTCTGAAGTTAAAACAAACTTAAGTATGGAACAGTAAAATAAAAGTTCCACAAAGCCTTTACCTCTACACAAGTGAATTCAAGTACAGTAAAACCCCAATGTTTTGAGGCTCATTCCTCCAAGCCCCCTGCTTTATAAGACAGGGTTATATATCCTGGTATTTAGAAATGAAAAATTACTCCACAATATGAAACTTGTTTATACAAGTTTCCTCAATGCCCCTTCTTTGTACCACAATGAACAATAAAACCAAGAATGCCTAAGTAGTATTTCAGTACAGTACCTTCATCATCAATCCACTTGAGGGTAATTGGCTGTTCCTGTTGTAAATTACACATCTCATGCACTTCATCACAAAGCTCATCATAGCTCATTGATGCATCCAAGTTTGTTATCAGGATGTCCCTGCATGAAATGAAACCATAAGCTTTTGTCAGAAAATATCCATCTACGGACCCCAAGCTGCAAAACGATACATACAGAACCAGCATTCCTTATATTAAATGCTCCCACTAATGTAAATTAGTTGCCAGAAGTCAATAGGATAACATCTCAGTGTTTAACTTTTAAAAATACTTTAGTATGGACAAATTAATTGTATTAATGATTTATCCTTATGTATGTGTACTTGAGTGAGTCAAGTTCCCTTATTATAAGCTATTAGTGTTTGAAGTGTTGAAAAAAAATGTAAGATTTTGTAGGAATTACATTTTATCCTGGTACTTCTTCCATCACAAGATAAGCAGAATCTCAATTACTGTCAAACCCTTTTAAAATGTAGGTTTTTTCCTCACATCTGCTACATTGTTAGAGAGAAAGCTTTGATGAGGTGAATTCTCAAAAGATATCATTACAAGAAAATTCAGATAAACTACCTGAAATTCTGCATTTTTGTGCTCTACCTTTGTCATGATTTGAGAACATGAACCCAATACTGAACTCTATTAATGTAAACCATACAGTATGCTCAGGCATTTGTGAGAATAACTCTTAACACAATGAAAGTCCACACAACACTTTCAATGCAGGACAAAGATAAAAAAAGAAAAGATTATGCAAAACAAAATCTGAAGATACAAACTAGACTTCCTCCTGCTTTCTGAATATTTTTCAAATGACAGACTCAATGAAACTAACCGATTAAACAAGGGCAGAAGGAAAGAAAAAGCACTTAAGTCATCTCAGTGCTTTCAAAACATTCTAGGGGATAAGTAGGAAACAGTTCTGTAGTTAATGGCTACTGGCATATATAATTGTTTCCCCTCTTAGTTTAATACAGTAAGTATACCAGAAGTTTGCCAACATGACTGATACAGTTTTCCTGTTTTCATAGTGCGACAAGTCATTTTAGAAAACACATTGTATTATATATTCTGCCTACTTATGTCTTAACCAGAAGCTGAAAGGTACTAGACTGAATTCAGAATCTTAAATTCTATGACACGGATTTTAAATGAAATGCATTCATAACTTTGCACTCTGCCTTTGCTGAGAAAAATTACAGTAAGCAAAGCTTTAAAACAATCACTTTAAAGATCTGTACTACGTTTCAAATTCAGATTAAAAGCACTGCTACCCTTTTAACTGTACCTTTAATCTACAATTCATGAAGTTCTCAAAGAACAGCAACTTGCAACTTAGCAATTCTTCTGAATAACAATGGAAAAAGTAGTATGTATACTAACTGCCAACTTGTAAAACCATATTGTACAATACTGAGCTGTCAGGTGAGGCTGAGTTTAAGGACATCTCCCTGTCAAAAAAGTTTCATTTTATGCACTTATGAAAGTAAGAGACCAAGACAGCTGGCAAACCAGCATTTGAGGTCTCGTGCAATGCCTTGCACCAAGACAAGGTCACTAACAAATGCAGCTCCTGACATCTGCTTGATTTAAGGAGTGGCTTGTGGTGGCAGTGCATTAAGTAGATCTGTGGTAACTCTGGACAACCACACTTCCACAAGTACCTGAATAATATCCAAAACCTGAAATTCTGCAGTAAGACAATACTGTACTATGCACACTACAAATTCCAACTAAAGCTGACAAATACTAATCAGCCTTATTGTTAAAATTATTATACCAGATGGCACTACCATTCCACATGTAAATTAATAAACTTGACATTGAACAAACTACAGGTGAAGTATGCTAAACAGCACCTGTTGCAGATGCAAACATTAATGAGATTTATTCAAATCATTGTCTCAATAATGTCCATGTTCCTTTGAGATTTACTGTGTTTAATCTTAATGTCTGTAGAGACACATTAGGCAATCGTAGCGCACATAAATGAAAATCGTTCATTGTTTGACACTAAAGAATCCCACAGGACGCTTTCTTGTCAGGTATCTGAAACTGGACTACAAAGTAATATGAAGAACTAATGACCAGCAAGTTGTGAGCTGTTCTAGCAAGACAATCATTCAGAGTGATGCATTAAAAGTGTCACCATATAGAACCAAGGTAACATACAGCAAGTGATACTGCATCACCACTATTTAAATGAAACGATTTCAAGTAAGCAGGCATAAACCAGATATTACACAAGTTTACTTTCTCTTGCAATCTACTTACGCAGTTATTTATACTATGCTATGTTAGGAACTCTGTCACACCCAGAAACATGAATACCTAAGATACTAGGACTCCACAGAGATAGACTCAACATTCATGAGTTTTAGAACTTCCTCGTGCTTAGATTTTTAACTGGGATTTCAAAATAGTATGTTGTATTATTATTTTAATGTTCTAGCAGCTACCTGAACAAGCCTGTCCTTAATTCTAAACTTGTTCAGCATCAATGATTTTCTGCAGTTAGTCAAATCCGTTCAAAAGGCAAGCGCAGGACTTTAATACAGATAGTGAGATAATCAGTTATATAGTTTATAATGCCAAAAATAGTCAGCTCTTACAGAATTTGATCAGTAGAAAAAACAAAATTCACTGAGTTTGGAACTCTTGTTTTGTCAGCTGACATAGACTTCACAGCTAATGGAAATTACTGAACAGAGTGTTTCAGGAGAAACTACAGCAGTAGTTTATTGCTAAACATCATAACAATTACACATGAATTCTAATAGTGACACAAGTACTACCACCTCCTCCACTTCTGTGCAGACAAATTCTACAGACAGACTTCTTTGACTTAATATCAACACTATCTGCCAGCAAGCTATTCCAAATTGTTTACCCTAAGTTCTACTTGTGTTTATAGTGCCTTCCCTTACAGAGGTAAGGCAGCTCTCCTATTGCTGTTTCAGAGAAGCATGCATACTCATGCATCTCAAAGAGCATCACACAAGTATTTGAAGTTCAGATGTTCTTTTCAACCTAAGCCTATGCATGACATGATTCAAAGACATACGATAAAACTATGGAGCAGAAAATAATTATTAATAGTGGCAAATATATGGTACAAATCTTTCACCCATAGTTCATAAAGTAGTTTACATGCATCTATTAAACAACCAAAGCAAAACCATGGTGTAGATTAGTAACAACAAAACTCAACCGATCTGCATTAAGAACACATTTTAGAAATTACCGAGCAGCAGTAACAAACCACAGCATGCAGTCCCATTTACTTTCATACACAGACTTGTGTAAAGTTTTTCTTCAAGTAGCAAATTTCTGTATTTTGTTACAGCATGAGTTTTGACATGAATTCTCACTGCTAAAAAAGCTTGCCCACGCTTTTACTAAGCAAATATTCATAAGAAAATTTAACCTGTAGATAAATGAACTGTAAATTAACAGATTCTACTAGACTTCAAATTTACAGGTGGCAAAACAAAGAAATAAAAATCAATGACTCCGCATAAGGAAAGAATTCAAGTCAGTAGTACAGCTAGAAATTGAAGTTTACCCACCTGATCTGTCATTAATTACAAATAGACCAACACCCTGAGTTACTCTATCACTAGGTCAGACCACGAACTCCTGCTCAGTAGGCTTCAAAATTCAACAGGACATAATACAGAGGAGAGAACATGGTGACTTACCCACTATAGTGTGTTTTTACTCTGATGAAGTCTTTGTTCAAATCAATTTTTGAGCCCATTCTGCTAGGCATGGTCTGTATCTAGCAGTCTAAACGAAATTATAAATATATAGAAATAAGTTCATTCAAGACAGATAACTCAATTCAGAAGCAAACAGCTTAAGATGAGACATGTGTTTCTCCTCCAGATGATTTTGAATCCAGCTGCAGAGAAAGAAAGACAGAATACAGATTAATATACACACACTCTACTAAGCTCTACTAAACAAATGAGTTGTGTTAAGTTTCATAAACACACATAGCTTTACAGAGAACAGCAAGAAATCAAGAGGGAAATATACAAGACTATTGACCTGCACAGAAATTAAATGATATGAGTTAATAATACCGTGTACAACTTAGTTTTACAGAAATATTCCAAGCGTTTAAGGATGATTTTTAATAAAACAACCAACAGTTCCCTCTTATCCAGACATACACCAAAGAAATTTTTACTTATTCATCAATGCAGTTTGACTCTTTTCTTCCAAAGAGTAAAGGATTTCAATTCAAAATAGTTTTTATATACATGGAATACTGCTGTCAATTAGTGTTGGTTACAAATTTACCCAAGAAAAGCAGCAGAGGAACTCCAAGGGGCAGTTTAAGTTACCTTCACGACCGGAAATGACAAGCATCCCGTTTATTCAAAATTACCACCACCTCACACATATCAATACGCACATATACCCGGGGAGCTCCCCAACGCCGCTGCCACAGGCACCGGGGAGAGACTCCAGACCTCGACTCCCGACCCCTCCTCGCCCGGGGAGCCCGGAGGAACACTCAGCCCTCCCCGTCCGACCCCCGGGACTCCCTTCCACACACGGCGGGTGAGGAGCGATGGGGAGGCCACGCTGCCCCGCTGGCACTTTGGTGGCTGCTGCCGCGCTCCGTGCCGCGACAGCGGGGCGGAGC